TAATGTATTTGCAACAAAATTACAAAATTGACACAAGAAAAGAACAAGAATATAAAATTGAATAAAGTATATATTTTATATAATTACAAGTGTATGTTATAAGTGTTTATAAATATTAATACGAAATAAAAACAAATAATATTTAAAAAAAAAAACAAATTTACTTTAAAGCTTTAATAAAAAATTTAGCACTGCTTTTTTATAAAAGCTGATCAATATTAGCCGTTTGTTTTTTAGATTTTGCTCTTTATTTTATTTTTTTCAATGCGGAAGGTAGCAACGCATATGTAGCTTTCATATGTTTGACTCAGTTTTGAAAGGTGGTAATTTTTTAGGAATTTTATTGTTGAAATGAACACAGATCCACACAAAAAAGTTGTCTGAATTGGGTGTGTGACATGTATTTTCCAATGCACATTTTACCGCTGAAGATAAATCTATAGTCAAAATTGGGGCACAAAATATTGAAAAACATTTAAAAACTGGTACAATCTTCAATCTAGATTTTTTTTCGAATGAATCAATTATTGTTCAGAGACTTTTCTTTTGTAATGTTGTCTTTTGTAAGACCTGTGTAATTGTTCGCACACATACGTACTTCCAAAAAAAAAATTTATCATAATTTGATTTGCGTTTTTTTTTTCAAAAGCGAAAATTTCTGATGTCTGACATGAGATTTATACAAAATTTTGATGTTTACTGAAAAATACATTATTTAAATCAGTATTATTTTGCATGTTAAATGGCGAAGAAAACATTTACATAAAAACAGCTCTCTTGTTAGCTTTAAACATTTGGAATCACAATTAAAATTTCACATTTTATTTTTTTGAACATGAACAGTGGAAAACAAGATTCTGCAAAAGATATTATTCTTTACTACCAAATTAACGAAAGTACTATAATTATTATTTCCTATCCAAAACAATTGTAATTCCCCATTTCAGTCGTATACTTCTTTAAGCATTGTACGACTATTGAGCTAGCGTACTTTAGTTTGAAAATCGCCATATTCACGATCTTAATTGTCAGGAAGTCTTTAAATTCACGATGATTCAACCCTCGCGACTTTCTAAGATTTACTTATTTAATTATTTTAAATTTAGAAATGCGTTTTTGCTATGTTCTCGGACAAGTTCTCAATTTTCTTTGCAATATTGAAGCTTGTTAAACTAATATTTAAATGAATTAATATTTATTTTATCAGGAAATGCTATTTCTTCGAACAACAAATTAGCCTTTACAGCCATATTTGATAAAAATCTAGAAAAATATTCTGTTGTTGAGAAATGCTTAGCCGCAGAAAAACATCCGGCGGGCTGCTCATCCTTGTTCTATATTCTTATTTTTACAGACAAAATATAAGAGCTTATGAATTGGGCGACAACGTTTAAATATGTTTACAGAAAAGTAAATAAACAAAACGTAATCAATCGGATTTAAATTGAAAGATATTTTCTAATATTTATAAGAATTATATAAACAGAATTTCATAGTTGAAATTATTTATTTAAAAGTATATACTTAAGTGAAATTTAGGACTCTAGCCAGAATTAATTAGTTCTCTCAAAAACCCATTTTTTACTCTTTTAGTTCTGTATTTACGAAAAGAATGAACCTATCTTTGCTAAAAACTAATCACTAATTCTCCCGCTCATTACGAACTGAATGTTTTTTGGATCATTAAAATCGGATGCTCCTTTCTGCACAGACAAGTATGCATATATGACCTAAAATTGTAGCTTATGATTCCAAATTTTAATTAATTTATATAATTCAACCAACAATGTTTGGAGAACTGTTTAGTGTTTAGTGCATGAACTTTGTCGCCGAAATAACGTAACTGATTTTTTTCAAACTTTGATGCAATTTTTAAAACTAAACGGCTTGTCGTA